CTCTTATGCCAGTGCCCATAATGAAGATCCAAGTTAGCATTTTACGCAACTTGACTCTGACAATGTCATACGAATTCATTGACATTTTACTGGAATGTGTGAATGATTTTTTTCACTAGCTGGCCTAACATTTACTACCACGATTTAAGGAACTTTAACGGAGTTGTAAGCTCATTTTGATACAGGTATCAGTTTATAATCGAGCAAACACATAAATTACATAAACCATTTGAATTTTTAAACAATACCATATATACATTCATGACTACAATGATAACATTGGTTATTAAAGAATGTGTGAGAAAATGGCATTTACATGCCTTTAATGTAAATATTTACACATTTTTCATAACTATAGGAAGAATCAGATAATCCTAGATTAATGAAATATCGCTTAATATCAGAGACATTGTCCTCCAATCTTTAATGAACACTGCACAACACTTTCTAACTGGATTGCAACGATTTACAGAGATCTACCAATTGATTTTATACGTGCGCACAACCGAAGCGCAGACAAATGACGTCTTTGATCGCCGACATATCGATTCGGGGTTGCCCGCTCAAAAATTCAAACAATAAGAATTTAACAATTTCAAATGTTGCCAGCACTCATTATTTGATAGTAACTTTAATCATTCAAATATTAATAATCCCTTCGCGCCGATAGATATAATTAGATGCACAGAGCATCCTAATAGAGAGTAATGGATACAGTAACTGGAAGCAAAACACCTCGCCGCATATTAACCGCCTCATTATTTAAACTTCTGATTAAGTATTCGTAACTTTAAACACACATTATACGTTTATGTCTTCATAGGAAGGACAAGTTTTTGATACAAAATTTTCAATGGCCATATCATCTGGACAAAAGCAGCATAATGTAAAATGTATTTTTATAAAGTTTTATCCTTCTGAAGTACAAAATCCCATGGTATTAATTTTTATGCAGCAATGTTGCAACTTTTATGAAGTAGCCTCGAGACTTAAAAAGCCAATAGCTTCTCCGCTTTTACTTTTAAAACAATCCTTTACAAAACTGGAAAGTTGTTGAATGAATCTTCTTGAAAATCCTGTACAATATTTTTTTTACTTTATGCTTTACATTATAAAATTAAAAAATATAATACATTTATATACAGAGAAGAAAGATACAACAGTCAATGCAAAGTCGTGTCCCTAAGTAGTACTGACGAGGTTATTTTTCGTGTTGCTTTTATGGGTCAAGACAACAGAATAAAAGAATCGGACGTCATGCGGTCTTCGCCCACGATTCAATAAAGCTTGACGGTATAAAATACCTACAGCACCTACGCTTATTGCTTGATTAGAGATACAATTCACGTGTATTGTGCTGTATGGTAAGATTGGAATTTCAAGGAAATAATTGTTCTCTGACAAACGGCAATGATATCGTTCGATAAAAACAATTGAATTGAATTTAAGTTACATTTTAAGAGCATAATAAACGAAAAACACGTGAGAAAATAAATAATTATATCGTTATACGTGATTTAAACCAATTATTCTTGACCTCTTAATCTGTTTTACCTTGCTACTAACAAATTGACTGTCATAAAAATAGAAGGTCCGCTTTATTTCTCGGTACTTTATGAGTAGTGATTTTTATGGCATTGTTTTATTTAAAATATCACGTTAATTTCTTACCATACTTTAATCACCTCTAAGTATCATAAATCTTAGCGTGATATATAAAAAAAAAACATAATATCTATTCAAATAATTACGCTCTCAAGACTATAACTTCAATTCTGAATTTGGCATAGATGAAACCAGAGAAATATTGTAACTGTTAAGTATTTATGGATAAATCATAATTAAAACAGCCGACAGGGTTCAAAAGGATCGGTTTGTGAATATCTGTGTACAATAATAAGATATCGATACGGAAATCGTGTGGGGTCCAGGTTATATTGTGAACCGATCCTGAAATACCGGTCGCATGCCGAGATAAATAGCATTTCGTTTGGTGCAATACAAAAAGGAGCCGATCGTGAGAACTGGTTTTAATAGTTGCGATATTTAATTTATCATTGTGTTATTCCTGTTGTTTTCGGAGTTGACAAGCGGTTGGCTGGTAGTTCTTTGATTTGGAGACCACATCTAAAATCAACAAGATTTTACGAACGATATGTGACGATCATCATAATAAATTTGTAAAATCATAATAAAGTTGTAAAATCCATTTACAATAAGACTACCCACTTAAAAAAAGTAAAATAACAAATATACAGACGAACTGAGTACCTCCTTTTGTGAAGTCGGTTAAAAACCATAACATCTTCCTCTCGAATAACAATAACGTAAAAAAAAATATACAAACACAATCCCTGAATTATCATATACTTTGTAGTACATGCAACAAAGTTTGCTTACAAATATAGGTACTTATTGAGGTATAATGCAATCATCAATGCCATTGATTTGACATTCAAAGTTATATAAATGTTTAAACAATTTAATCGTTGTGCTACTAGTAAATAAAAGATCAAATTAAACAGTCGGGTCGGTCGTAAACAAAGTAATCTTTAGCCGCGGGTACTCGACGATTTATCGTGAAATATGTTTATCGTTTTTTATGCAAATAACAGGAAGTTTATAATGATGTCCTTAATAAATAATTATTTATAACAACCCCATTATACAAACTCCATTCAGGAATATGCAAATACTTCTAGATTTCAACGTACCTAACATAGTAAAATTCCAACATCTAAAATTTATCAGATATAAGAAAGGGCTTAAATTATACGAAAGAGTGTAGGTTCGTCAGCATGATGGCTCGAACGCTCAATTTGTGAATTGCACTGCACATTCAAGGGCGTATTTATAGAAGGGCTTGGCGCAGGAAACTTCCGTAGGGCTCTTTTTAAACCATGTGCACCGTACTGCGAACAAGTACCTTCGTTGCAACTTAGTAAAAATATATAAGGAATAAATTATCTTCAATCTACATCAAGTTACGAGTTAACGAGGGATTTTTTTAATCTTTTTTTAGATTTTTCGATATGTAATAATAACGCTAGATGGGACATTTTTGTATGTTTTACTGAAAAAACCTTAGTATAGTTTTTAATCATATTTTTCTCGTAACTCCTTATCGTATTTACTTTAAAAATGCATGAGCGAAGATAACGCCGTTATGACATGCGATAACCGGTTCACGTTCTATTAATACATTTATGTTATTTAATTTCAACGTAAAACTCGATAATTTTTTACTGAAGCGAGGAGAGAAATGTTATGAAATACGGCAAAAAAAATGAAAAAAGAAACAATTTGACCAATTACTCCACTAATTAAACTTCATATTAAGGGTTTATGTCTAAATTTTTACCATATTTTAAGTGTTATCTCGTAACCAAAAAAAAAGTTTAAAAAACATGCATAACAAAAACCTTCGGAACATAATGAACTTTTGCGGACAGAAACCGCAACAATTCGGGATAGAGGCAGCTGGTTGGTAATTTGGGGAAAATGCATTTTTGGAATACGAGTGTGTACGGGAAACGGAAACCAGCTGTGCGCTGAGCGGTTAATGTACGGGAACCGGTCAAATTGCATTTTTAGGGCTCCACCAATTTCAGCGAGTGCTGTCCGAGCGCGGATTAAAACACTTAAAATGCAGGATAGAAAAGCAAAACAGACCTTTCTTCTGCAATATTGGACTTTGCAAATATATTTTCGTATGTTGTTTCATACGTTAGAGCTGTTGCAACCATATTAAAAAAATGTGACTATAGTTTGCAGCTATCGCTCAGCCTTCCTATCGTCAAAATTAAATGTTTTTTTGAACTATACGTATTTACTCTCTTATTTATTTATTTGGTTCTTTTACTCAATAAAAAAAAATCGACTTAATTGAACACTGTTACCAATAACGGTAGACCAAATAAAATTTCATTTAAATAAGTATACAATAATAATCGACTTAAACAAAACTTGGTAGTTTTTTCTTTTTTTTTTTAATTTTTTTAATTTCTTTCATAATTATTTGTATATTGTGTTTAATGGCCGCACGAGACTACAGATTAAATATTTACGTGCATTACAAACAAGGGGGAGTTATTGATATAAGTGCAATAATTGTTCTCTTACAGCGTGAAGTGCGAAAAACTACTCAGGCTGCCTATTATAGCACTTTTAGCTTTTTGATATATAATTGTCGTAAAAATACGACTTTGTAGCATCACTCGACATAATAATGTAATAGTCAGATTAAAATTGAAGCTGGAATAATTTTGATTCAATATATTTTAACAGTGATTCGTTTTTTTAATCCTTAGTAATATCGCTAAAATATTTACATATCAAATCATGATATGTTACAACACTATTTTAAAGATTATTTCAAAATTATTCGCCATTCAACCAAAATGTTGTATCATGTTCGTAAAAACTTTTTAAAACATTGCACTGGTCGTAAATCCATTACAGGCGTTTCCCAGTTACATAAATAAATACGTCTGGTAGTTTTGGTTAGTATTTGGTAGTCAACTATCTCTCAATTCGAGGTACAGTGGGGACGGGGCCGGTTTCCGAACGAACTAGCCGGCCTGAGACTTCCAACCAGTTTCGCGCCAATTATGTGCCGCTGTTATTCGTTACGATATAAACAAGCGACAAGAAATGCATTTAATATGCCGTAGGCGTTTTACGTACACAACAATTTAACGTATAGGTAATTTAGTAGTTACAGTATGTAAGATGCGAAGTCTCCTCCGATAAATTAATTCCCAGAAAAGATGAGTCGATTTATATTTAAACCATCTGTTCCTTCTTGTTCTTGTCGTATTTTAAACATGTCGGGACTTGCAACGACAAAGCTTCGTTGTAAACAGTCATAATGTCTACCTTCATTTAAATTATTTATGTTAATAGATTGATGTTGACTATAAATACATAGGTCGATGATAAGCGCAGTGAGTTAAGACCGGTCTGGAGTCTGGAAGAAACAAAGAATTAAAAATACCTACCTAACTCTATCTGAAACGATTTCTGGTTTGGAGTT